TACATTTATTGATTTGCGTATGTTGAACCATCCTTGCATTCCTGGGATGAATCCCACCTGGTCATGGTGTATAATCTTCTTGATGATTTGCTGGATCCTATTTGCCAATATTTTATTGAGGATTTTTGCATCTGTGTTCATTAGGGAGATCGGTCTATAGTTCTCTTTTATAGTTGGGTCTTTCTCAGGTTTTGGTACTAGAGTAATATTTGCTTCCAGGAATGACTTAGGAAGGATTGCTTCCCTTTCAATTTCATTGAATAGTTTGAGGAGTGTCGGCATTAGGTCTACTTTATATTTCTTGTAGAATTCTGCAGTGAATCCATCTGGGCCTGGGCTCTTCTTGGTGGGCAAGGACCCAATTACATTCTCAATTTCATTAGCAGAGATTGGGTTTTTCAACAGTTTTATATCCTCTTGATCTAGCTTTGGTACTTCATATGCTTCTAAGAATCTGTCTATTTCTTCTGTGTTATCAAACTTTTGAGAGTAGAGGTTTTCGAAATAGGTGTTGATGATCCTCTGTATTTCTATTGGGTCTGTAGTGATTTCTCCTTTTTCATTTCTTATTGCATGAATTTGAGCTTTTTCTTTCCTTTTTTTAATAAGGTTGGCTAGGGGCTTATCGATTTTATTTATTCTTTCAAAGAACCAACTCTTTGATTCGTTGATTCTTTGGATTGTTTTCTTAGTCTCTATTGCATTGATTTCTGCTCTGATTCTTATAATTTCCTCTCTTCTTTTGGCTTTGGGCTTGACTTGCTCTTCTTTTTCTAGCTGTTTGAGGTGTAGCATCAAGTTATTTACTTGTATTCGTTCTGTTTTCCTGATGTGGGAACTCAGTGCAATAAATTTTCCTCTCAGAACGGCTTTCATTGCATCCCACAGATTCCGGTAAGTTGTATCTGCATTTTCATTTTCTTTTAGGTATTGTTTGATTTCTTCTTTAATTTCTTCTGTGACCCACTGATTACTCAAGAGTGTGTTATTTAGTTTCCATGTGTTTGCGGAATTTTTGCAGTATCCTTTGTCATTAATTTCTAATTTCAGAGCGCTATGATCCGATAATATGCAAGGGATGATTTCAACTCTTTTGCATTTGCTTAAATATGTTCTGTGAGCTAATATATGGTCTATTTTAGAAAATGATCCATGTACTGCTGAGAAGAATGTGTATTCTGATGTTGTTGGGTGGAACATTCTGTATATGTCTATCAAACCCATTTGTTCACAGGTGTGATTCAGTTCTGTTATTTCTTTGCTCATTTTCTGTCTGGTTGATCTGTCCCTTGGTGTCAGTGGTGTATTAAGGTCTCCTGTTACAATTGTGTTACTGATAATTTGAGTTTTCATTTCTGTTAATAATTGTTTTATATAACTGGGTGCTCTGGAGTTTGGTGCGTATATATTTAAGATAGTTATCTCTTCCTCTTGGAGTTTTCCCCTTACGAGTATGTAGTGACCTTCTTTGTCCTTTATGGTCATTGTTGGTTTAAAGTTCACGTTGTCTGCAAACAGAATGGCTACTCCTGCCTTTTTTTGGATTCCTGCTGCATGAAGAATTGTTTTCCATCCTTTGACTTTCAGTCTGTGAGTATCTTTCTGGGTTAGATGGGTTTCCTGTAAACAGCATATGGTTGGATTTTGTTTCTTGATCCATTCTGCTAGTCTGTTTCTTTTGATTGGTGCATTGAGACCATTTACATTAATGGTTATTACTGTTAAATGCTGGTTAATTGTAGGAATGTTATCTCTCTGCTGTTGCATCTTTATCTTTCGGTTCTGTTTAATTATTTGCTTTGCTTAGTGGTTTTTTCCTTTGTGTATCTAAACTGTCTTTCAATATTTTTTGCAGGGTTGGTTTGGTGTTCATGAAGTTCTTCAGCTGTTCTTTGTCATGGAAGTATCGTATTGCACCATCTATTTTGAATGATAGTTTTGCAGGATATATCAGTCTTGGTTGGAAATCATTTTGCTTTAGGATCTGGAATACTTCACTCCATGCTCTTCTTGACTTTATCGTTTGTGCTGAGAAGTCTGCTGTGATTCTGATAGGTTTTCCTTTATAAGTGATCTGTCTTTTCTCTCTGACAGCTTTTAATAATCTATTCTTGTGTTGGATTTCTGGGATGGTGACTATTATATGTCTGGGTGTAGTTTTATTTTGGTTATGACTGTTTGGAGTTCTATATGCTTCACTGATCCTGATGTCAGTTTCTGATCTCATGCTTGGGAAATTTTCAGCTATTACTTCTCTAAATATCCTCCTGACATCCTTCATGTTGTCTCCCTCTCTTTCATTAATCCCTATCATTCTTATGTTATTCTTCTTTGCATCGTCTTGCAGTTGTTGAATTGTTGTTTCCTGGTTCCTTGTTATTTTCAAAAGATCTTTCCTTTCCTGTTCACTAGCTGCAATCCTGTCTTCAAGGTCTGAAACTCTATCTTCACTTTCATTAAGGCGGTTTTTACAACTTTCAGTGGAGTTTTTTATTTCCTGTATATCTCTGTGCATCTGCATTATGTATTCTGTTTGTTTCTTATATTGCTCGTCTAGGGATTCTATCTTTTTGTTTAGTTCCTCCAATTTTTTATCTGTGTTTTCTTTAGATATATTTAGAATCTCTTTCATTTCTTTTATCATTTCTTCTTTTATCTGGGAGATTATTTCGAGTTTGAATTTCTTTAAAGCTTCCTGGAGTTGCTTGTCAATTTCAGTGGCTATTGTGTCCGATATATGAGGTGGATGGGATATATTTTCTTCTATATACATCGCTCCTAGGGTTTCTTGAGATGGGCTGGAGGTTTGAGGTTGTAATTTGGTCTTTCGTTTTGTCATTTTCCTATATTTCTGTGTTTCAAGTGTTACTTGAAAGCTTCCTCAGGATCTGTTGAAAATCCCCTTCTATGTTTGGAGCTACTGGGACTCTGGCGCCGCGCTACTCCAAGCCATTAGGCCTACAGAACCAGTGGCCCTCCTCTGCCTGCTCAGAACTCCGCAGTTCCAGACAAGCTGGGCCTCAGGGACACTGTGCGCCCACCTGCCCCTTGGAAGCTCCACAGTTCTTCAATCGCAGCCGGGTTAGGGTACTCACCACAGGCCGCAGTGCTTCAGGAACCTGTGGACCCTCCCTGGTTGCAGAGATATCCACAGTCCTCCAGACACGCAGAGAGGCCAGTGAGGGCACCCCAGATCTGCCCAGCTCCTCCTCTGCAGACCTGTGGCCAGGCGCGGCAGCTAAACAGGCTGGGCTAGGCTGGTAGTGTGGGCCAGCCCACCTATTGGGAGCTCAGCAGGTCTCCAAATGAAGCCGGGAATGGGGAGGCTGATGTGGAAGCCTTAAACCCACCTCTCTCCTTCATTGCACCTGGAAGCCTGAGGGAACTCCAGCAGTCTGGGCGCAGAAATCCAGAGTCCTCCAGACACGCAGAGAGGCCAGTGAGGGCACCCCAGATCTGCCCAGCTCCTCCTCTGCAGACCTGTGGCCAGGCGCGGCAGCTAAACAGGCTGGGCTAGGCTGGTAGTATGGGCCAGCCCACCTTTCGGGAGCTCAGCAGGTCTCCAAATGAAGCCGGGAATGGGGAGGCTGATGTGGAAGCCTTAAACCCACCTCTCTCCTTCACTGCACCTGGAAGCCTGAGGGAACTCCAGCAGTCTGGGCGCAGAAATCCAGAGTCCTCCAGACACGTAGAGAGGCCAGTGAGGGCACCCCAGATCTGCCCAGCTCCTCCTCTGCAGACCTATGGCCAGGCGCGGCTGCTAAACAGGCTGGGCTAGGCTGGTAGTGTGGGCCAGCCCACCTATCGGGAGCTCAGCAGGTCTCCAAATGAAGCCTGGAATGGGAAGGCTGATGTGGAAGCCTCAAACCCACCTCTCGCCTTCACTGCACCTGGAAGCCTGAGGGAACTCCAGCAGTCTGGGCGCAGAAATCCAGAGTCCTCCAGACACGCAGAGAGGCCAGTGAGGGCACCCCAGATCTGCCCAGCTCCTCCTCTGCAGACCTGTGGCCAGGCGCGGCAGCTAAACAGGCTGGGCTAGGCTGGTAGTGTGGGCCAGCCCACCTATCGGGAGCTCAGCAGGTCTCCAAATGAAGCCGGGAATGGGGAGGCTGATGTGGAAGCCTTAAACCCACCTCTCTCCTTCACTGCACCTGGAAGCCTGAGGGAACTCCAGCAGTCTGGGCGCAGAAATCCAGAGTCCTCCAGACACGCAGAGAGGCCAGTGAGGGCACCCCAGATCTGCCCAGCTCCTCCTCTGCAGACCTGTGGCCAGGCGCGGCAGCTAAACAGGCTGGGCTAGGCTGGTAGTGTGGGCCAGCCCACCTATCGGGAGCTCAGCAGGTCTCCAAATGAAGCCGGGAATGGGGAGGCTGATGTGGAAGCCTTAAACCCACCTCTCTCCTTCACTGCACCTGGAAGCCTGAGGGAACTCCAGCAGTCTGGGTGCAGAAATCCAGAGTCCTCCAGACACGCAGAGAGGCCAGTGAGGGCACCCCAGATCTGCCCAGCTCCTCCTCTGCAGACCTGTGGCCAGGCGCGGCAGCTAAACAGGCTGGGCTAGGCTGGTAGTGTGGGCCAGCCCACCTATTGGGAGCTCAGCAGGTCTCCAAATGAAGCCGGGAATGGGGAGGCTGATGTGGAAGCCTTAAACCCACCTCTCTCCTTCACTGCACCTGGAAGCCTGAGGGAACTCCAGCAGTCTGGGCGCAGAAATCCAGAGTCCTCCAGACACGCAGAGAGGCCAGTGAGGGCACCCCAGATCTGCCCAGCTCCTCCTCTCGGTTATTATTTTCTCTACCAAAAGTATCCCTGAACGTGAGCAATGTCAGGATGCTATGCATACTTTTTTATATTTAATAAGTAATATCAACCACTTTAACCTTTCACTAGAAGATGGATGTCTAAAGGAAAGCCCAATGTTGTGCTCACAACAGAATATGGTACCCAGAGAAGGTTCCATACACATTCATTGAATGCATGTATACACAGTTACCAGTTACCATTGAGTACTGGGGGACAATCCCACCGGCATCGCCATGATAGATATAGACTGCCCCTGCAAAGTCGTCTTCTTTGGGTGCACCAATGGCCACATCTGAGGGAAAAAAACAACTCTGGGTCAGAATGCCATATGGAATAGTATGTGTGGATTCTTGAACTCCATTTATCATGTCAGAGGTCCCTGATCCCAGACATTCTTGGCTAATCATTGAAGCATTAAATTAGGCATATGATCTCTTAGCTGGAGAAAAAAATGAAAAGAAAGTTATAGAAGCTGAGAGGACTTTTTTCCCAGAAAAGCTTCTACCTCATCCTCATAAGAAAAAGTACTGAAACACTGATATAAAGAATAACAAGCTGGGTGTAATGGTTCACATCTAAAATCCCAGCACTCTGGCAGGCTAAGACAGCTTTGGGTACTTAGGGAGACCTTGTACTTGTCTCAAAATTTAAAAAGGGTAGGGAATATTGCTTAGTGCAAAGATAGACAGATAGAGAGAGATGGATTAATAGACCCACTCTAATCTCTTTCAGAGAGGGGAATTCTATAGACAATGGTTACTGTGTAACTGAGAAAGTCAACTTGATTCCTAAAAAAAAAATATATAGAATGTAATTAATTTCCCCAAAAAGAAAAATCAACGTTACTCTCGCAAATGACAGCTTCTGAATCATAACCTAGGTATTTCTTACTTTTTGCCCCTTGCTTCTCATGAGCCATGTCTGAAGAGGTGTACTTAAGGGCAGAGTGCATACATCCCCATGATCTTAAGATAGCATTTATGTGTTTGTCCTCTCTTCCTTTCCCTCTCCCTCTCCCTTTACCCTACCCCTCCCTGGCCAGTGGAATGAGGTAGCAAAGGAACCCAGATACCCAACCTGGGCAAAAGCAGAACCCCAGCCTTGAGGATGCAGCTTCCCTAAACCCTAATGTCAGTACAGTGCATACAGTGAGGAAAGAAGTATTTTAATAGGTCAGAGGAGAAGCCAATGGGCTGTGAAGGACTGGTGGCAGAAGAAAGTTCATCAAACTTCTTAGTCACCAGAAGCCAGAGGACCCATCCTGAGGTTGACTTCCCCTGCAGAGACAGAGCAAAGAAGGCTGAACTCCAAGAAAGAGCTGCATAGAAGCAAAACTCCAGTGGGCTCAGCACTCAGTTCTGGTGTCTACATGGAGAACATCTCTAAGAGTTTCCTCTCTCCCCATAAAAATGCTGATGGACTTCCAGTATAGACCAGGAGCTCCAGAAGTAGATAATGCCAAGAGGACAAAGTCACTCTGACACTGGACCTACCACTGTGCCTGGAGGAGCTCTGCGCTCCAGCAGAGACCTCGCTCACCTGCGAACCCATCATCGTCGAGATCCCCCAGGCCGGCGATGCTCTCCCCAAAGTGTGCATTGTAGGCCCTGTCCCCGGTCAGGGCCAACTGCTCCTCAAGGACTCCCTGGGAAACAGGACAGAAGAAAAATTGGCTGAGGAAAACACAGAACCAAAATTTTTTTAATTTAAAAATATAAATCTAGAGCTCAGAGCTCCTAGATCACACTCACTGACAGGAAACACCTAGACAGAAGCACAAGAATCCAAATTTCTGTCTCCTCAGGGCAAAATGAGTGCCTTCTACACAGCAGAAAGGTCTCCAATTGCTGAGATATGTGTCAGAGGCAAGAAGAGTGTCACATTGGCCAATGGCCACATGTCACTGTCCTCATACTGACAGAAAAGCCAGCCTGCCTACTACACCTCCCCACAATATCCCCTGGGTTTTCCTTATGGCATAACATTGTTGCCAAAGTTGTTTCAAACAAGGACATATTTTTCTCTTTCTCTCCTGTGCCTTTCAGTCATATTTCTAAGGCCATTTGCAAGGTGCATGTTGATAGGGGAGATCACAGCTCTGAAAATTCAGGCACCTCATCTGGACAGAGGTAGATAAATCACTGTGTTTACAACCATGTGTGGCTCAGATTCAAAATTCCTGAGCAAACACTAACTTACAGAGAGAGGAGGGCCACTGGTGTACAGTGGCAGTGAAAACCACCCAAGAATACCCACTCTGCTCCCAACCACTGGGCATGTGAATACCACGTACTGAAATGCAATCTGATGTTTTGAGAAGTAAGAATGACTAAACCCTCCCCAGTGGAGAGACACGTTGGACCCATCATACACACATGAGCCATGCCATGAATATTTGGTCTTTCTCATTACCAAATCTCTTTCTCTATAAACACAACTTTCAATTGAAAACAATAAAGGTGTGATGATTTCTTGAGTCAGTAAAAGCTCACCCCAAAATACAAATAAAAGTCATCCTTCAGTGTCTGTGAGGGTAGTGCCAGGACACCTTGGAGTCTAAAATCTGCAAATGTTTGAAATCTTTCTATAAATTTTCACTGTATTTATATATATCCTATATACACATTCCTATGTACTTTAAATCATCTCTAGACTACTTATAATTCTAATACATGGTAAATGATATTCAAATAGCTATTATACTGTATCACTTAGGGATTTGCAGTCTGCACATGGTCAGTAAAGACAATTCTTTTTGCTACTGTATGTTCAATATATGGTTGACTGAATCTGAGAATGCACAGCCATAGATCCAGAGAGCTGACCATAAGTTATTTCTTCCCATTAGTGTGAGGAAGAAGAGGAAGTAAACACAAGTAGCTAATTCCCTTTGTGCACCCAACACTGTATATGCATCCCCTCATTTACGGACTTTCCAACATTATAGACAGGAAATTGAGGCACTAACTGCAAACTATTTGTTTCATCACACAAGATATAAACTAGAAAACCCAAGAACCAAGCTCAGGTCCAAACTCAGGTCCAAACTCCAGAGTCATCACTTTTTCACTCCTCCACATTACCTTACACTTATTAATCAAACAGAATATGTTCCAACATAAACAAAACACTCTGGAGCTTAGGGTAATCATATAGCACTAAAGTACATTAGGCTAGAGGTGGAAGGAGGCCATACATGGTTGCCTCATGCTCAGAGGAGATCTGGGAGAATTGTTATGCTCCCAGATTCTGCCCCTGACTTGAACACATATTTGGGCCATGCAACTTCTTCGTTCTCCTGTACATATAATGGTGGGCAGCCACTAGCTGTCCATTATTCCCAACTATAGAATAACCATTTCATTTTTCCCTGTCCCTGCTCCTAGAATGTCAGTGGGGATATAGGTATCAAAAGGTCCAGGATAAACAACTGACTTTAAAAAAAAATCAATAGCTTTTCAGACCCCAATAAGGTAATAGCTGGGAAAAAAATCAGGAAAGCAATTCCAAACACAGGAGGTTAAAAAAAAAATACAATACTGAGGAATCAACCTAACCAAGGAGGTGATGGACCACTACAATGAAAGTTTCAGAACACTGGAGAAAGAAATCAAAATAACTAGATAAAAGACGGGTAGAACAGCCATGTTCATGGATTGGCAGAATTGATACTGTTAAAATTGCCATAATACCAAAAATGATCTACAGATTCAATGTAATTCCCATCAAAAGTTCAATAACATTCTTCACAGAACCAGAAAAAACATCCCAAAATTCATATGGAAACAAAAAACCCAGAACAGCAACAGCAATCTTTTGTTTTGTTTTTATTTTTTGTACCAGGGATCGAACTCATGACTTAGTGCTTGCCAGTCTGCTGCTTACAGCGCTGAGCTAAATCCCTGGTCCAGCAACAGCAATCTTAAGCCAACAAAGAACACAGAAACAAACCCATGTAACTATGGCCGTCTATGGCCAAAGGAGTCAAAAACAAACACTAGAGAAAAAGGTAGCCTCTTTAACAAATGGTGCTAGGAAAACTGGATATCTATATGTAGAAAACTAAAATTGAATCCTTTTCTCTCACCCAGTACCAAAAAGAAAAAACGTAAATTCAAAATAAACTAAGACCTCCATATAAAATCTGAAACTTTTGAAACCACCAGAAGGAAACATTTGAAGCCATAAGCAGGCAAAGATTTCCTAAAAGAGACTCCAACAGCACAGCAAGTAACAGCAAGAATCAACAAATGGGACTCCACCACACTGAAAAGTTTCGGGGCCACAAGGGAAACAACCAAAAAAGTGAAAGACTAACAACAGAATGGAAGAAAATCTTTCCGGCTATTCTACTGACAGAAGATCAATATTTAAAATACATAAAGAACTAAAAAACACCAAAAAATAAAATGAGTCGATCAATTCATGGACTATAGACATTTCTCAAAAGAAGCACAAATAGCCAATAAATATATGAAAAAATGTACATCATCTTTAGCCATTGGAGAAATGTAAATCAAAACTATACTGAGGCAGGTGTGGTGATACATGCCTATAATACGAACACGTGGGAAACTGAGGCAGGAAGATCACCATGAGTTCAAGGCCAGCCTACGCTACACAGTAAATCTGAGGTCATCCTAAACTACATGGTTAAAGCCTGCCTCAAACACACACACACACACACACACACACAACTATAGAGTTTCCATCTCATCTCAATTAGAATGGTTATTATCAAGAATACAAAAAAAAAAAACCTTTTTAAAACCATAAATGCTGAAAAAGGAATCTTCTGTGGTTCTGGTAGAAATGTAAATTAGTACAGCTACTATAAAAATGAGTATGAGCCTCTTCAAAAAAAATAATCCTTAGCATAAATGCTGATCTTGGTTACTTTTCTCTCCTTACTGGGGCAAAATATCCCAAACACAAAATGAAGGAAAGAAAGATTTATTTAGCTCAGTTTGTGAACATTTCAGTCCATAATCAGCTGGCTCCAAGGCAGGGTGGCATGGCACTGGGACAACACTTCAAGGCAGCCACCAGCAAAAGTAGTCAGTGCACAAAGGGGTAAAAGCAAGTCTCTTTCCCTCCTTTATATTGTAAACAAGCCACCGCCTGCCCTCTGGGGTAGGGCTAGCACTCACAAAATCTCCTTGCCCTCCTCTTGCATAGGATGGGTATATTTACTAAGTAAGAACCCTGGCTCTCTGCTCAGTCCCTTAAACTTCTAAACTTTTGAAGTTGACACAATGTACCAACCATAACAAAACCCTAACCAATCTAAGTATACTAAGAGGGATACCTACCTACCCATGTTTATTGTAGCACAATTCACAACAGTCAAGATATGAAACCAGCCTCTACAACCATCAGCAGTAAAATGGGTAAAGAAAATGTGTCACAATACACAGTGGGGGTATTCAGCCACAATAAAAAATAAAATTCTGTCATTTACAAGAAAAGGGATGGATATGAGACCATCGTATTGAGTGAAATATAATTTTCTGATTGAAATTTTATGTTTAAATTTTTAAAAATGTATTACACTAAAAGACCTATTTCCAGTAATCCTCCTCAAAATACTCTTCTTTTTTGGTACCAGGAATTGAACTCACAACCATGCACTTGAAAGGCAGGCACTTATGCCACTAAGCTAAATCGCTGGCCCAAAACACTCCTTTGCTTCAAACATATTTATCCCATTATTCTTGCCACTTTTTGAAGCACTTCTAGAAACCCTTTCTTTGTGAGTATCTTTAGATGTGCTGCCATGGCTCCATGACATCCTAAAGAGACTCAAACCTTTAACTTTCATGGTTGTTCTAACTGGAAGAGCACAGTGCCAGATCCATGAACACAGTGAATGAGGTCGCACCATCAAGTTTTGAGTCTCTCTTCCCATTAGATGGCACTCGGCAGCAGAATACATATTTTTTATCACATGATAAAGATATAAAAGAGGACTTTCAGAAGTGTTTCAGGAAGTACAACAAATGATGGAATAAATGTGTTTGAGCCAAGGAAGGTTGTTTTAAACGAGATTCATGGCAATATGTCTTTTACTACAATAAATTTTAATCATTACTATATATGTTGACCTTGTAAGCCAGATTCATACAGAAAAAGCATGCCAGATTCAAATCCTTACCTTACCACTTCTCAGCTGTGTGACCTAGGCCATGTAACTTCACTCTCTGGGCCTCAGTTTCCTCATCTTAAACTGGAGACCCTTGATATCATGTATATATCTCAGGCACACTTTCATAGAAAGCAGAAAAAACAATGCCGAGTACACAGTCAGTGCTTAAAACTTGTTGGGAAGGTTTCTTCCTGGCGCCTGTATGTTTGTGGCTCTAACATTGTATATGACTTCCTGCCAAAAGACCATTAAGTGTCCCCCTAACAAGAATTTAGTCATTTCAACTCCTCCGGATAAAGTGGCCCCCTGGGCATTCAGAAAAGGGTGCTTAGTCAGTACTGGCTGGACACATACCCCTCCCTCCCCATACCCGCATACCCTCATTGCCAGAGCCAGTGAATAAGGTGGATACTCACGTTTCCTCTGTTGATGTAGACGGTGACCTGCCCCTCATCTCTGACCTCGGAAAACATGGGGGCACCCACTAGCAGGTCCGAAAGGCCATCCCTGTTCAGGTCAACTGCGCATAAGGAGGAGCCGAAGTAAGAGCCCATCTGCAACCAAGCCGAGTTGCAACAAAGTGTTCAGTGTCCACCCTTGCACGCCAAAGCCCTAGAGTGCGCTGGTTTGCTAGTTTCAGAAAAACTTGCTCCTGGCCCCTCCAAGGCTATAACAGCTAAGCTACCCCACCCTCCAGGATGTCCAAGGAGACTGAAGTACCCAGCATCCACAGGCCTTCTGATTATCCTGAGACCAAAGCTAAGCAGCTCAGAGCACCCTTTTCCAGGAGAAGATAAACACTCTAATCCCTGGAAAACAAGGTACTGTTTTTTAAAATGTAAGCTGAGGTTACAATTTCAGGTTAAAAACATGAAAAAAGTGCCTATGTATCCGACATTTGACAAGGCCAAGCAAACAGGGACGTTTGACATTTTACAACACAAGGAAAACATGAAAATAAATGTTGCATGGGGAAACAGGGTATCATCCCCCAGTCCTGAGTGTAGCTACAGACAAGCTAGAAAGGCATGAAGTAAAGTGACAGAAAAAGGTACAAGTCATAAGACTGATGAGAGAACACAACTAGTTATATTGGCTCTTTAAACATAGCTTAACCTGGACTGGGGATTTAGTTCAGCAGCATAAGCGCCTGCCTGACAAGTGTGAGGTTGTGAGTTCGATCCCTGGCACCACAAAAAATAAATAAATAAATAAATAAATAAATAAATAAATAGCTTAACCCATGTTAAGCTATGTTAAATCTGGAATCTTAAGCCCAATTACCGATGGGATCCAGGAAGGTAGAAAAACAGGTGTAAGAAAAATAATAACAATGCAAGAGTTCTTATAGATGGCAAGTGATGGTCCCCGTGTCTAGGTGACAAGACAGAATGATGGAGACAGCAGCAGACAATAGCCCACAGCCCCAACTAAAGCAGCAGATCCAACCCAGCTGCAACTGCACCACAAGGAAGGCTGACCCAGAAGGACCAACCATCCAATTCTCCAAGGAAGCCAAAACTCTAAAATTCTATTTGAAACACCTGTTTTTAAATGCTGATTACTTAATGCAGAATAAAAATGATAAATTAATACTACACAGATGAAACAAAAACTTTTGTAAGCTGTATGCTCCCTAAAAGCTGCCAGTCTGAGATCTCTTAACAACAAAAAAAACTGCATGCTTTTAAAATAAATGTTTTCAAATAGAAGTGCTCTGGCTCCAATGACCTGAACAAGCATTTCTCTTGCTATTGGAGTGTGTTTACAGATGATCCAGGGCACTTTGAGAGGACTTTAAGTACTCCAATCTACCTCCTGCACCTAACGTTGGCACTGGAGGACTTTGCAGTGGCCACTCAAAAACCCTTCACTAGTCACATGTCAAAGACAAGTGCCCATTCTCAGGGTCATGAGAGAGGTTTGGAAACTAGGTTTGGAATCACAGAGGGTGGGAAGGACAGAAATTGAGTTCCAGGCACTAATTCAGTGATCTTGCCAATCTGCCTATCGGAACTTTAGGAATAGAATCTAGTAAGACACAGGCAGGACCCTAAAGGACAAAGCCAAACATTGCTCTCTCTGGTAGAGCCCCATAGGAATTATTTGTTTCATTCCAGTGGGCTATTTAACTTGGCATCTTCAAAGGTGTTAAATCAAAAATCCCTGCATATGGAGTTTCCTAACTTTTGAAACACAAACACTTCACATACTCAGCTAATTCAATAAAACCTCAATGTGGCAATGCCATGCTTTAGAGGGTCCCTTGACCATAACTTCCCATCAGCCTAGAAGTTCAGAGGAGTGTGTCTGATTTAATGTCTGAATCACACACGTATTAATGGTATTTATGGGTACTTTTTGTAAGATGTCAATCAATAAAGACCAGAACCAGTTTTTTATTAGTGTTTTTCCTTCCTCATGAAGAGCCAAGATGCAATCTGACCAAACACTAGGCAAACAAAAACATAAGTAAACTGCCAATTGCCTAGTTGGAACTCTCCTCTTTGTGTGTGGCTCCAGACAAACGGCTTTAGCTAAAGGCATCCTTTGAAAGTCTAGGGTCACGTCCTGACAATGGAGACATCATAGAGCCAAAAATATCTCATTTCTTCTGGTGAAAAGCAGAATAAGATGGATAAGGAGAGGTAATGGCCTATTTCAAAATCAAAGGAGGTACTCAGAGAAGAAAGTAAAGTCCAGAGGGCTCAGAGGGTGAGGAAGGATGTAGAATAACTACAGGACAAGGCAAAGGTTCTGAAAAGAGATATCCTGAAGTAAAAGCAAGACACAGAGGTATGGAGCTGGAGGGCAAAATACCTGGGCACCTCTGTCTCCACCTCAGAGAACCTCACATATTTTGTCACAATAAGAACATTCAAACCAACAAGTAAGCATGTCTGTCCTAGAATCTGAGTACAGAGTCCTCAGGACATTTGCACAGGGAGTTCTTGGAAGTTTTCCTGATCCCCCTCACATCACCCACTCAAATCCACTCCTAAAAACCTGACCCAAATTAGGCTCAGAAGTAGCCAGGTAAGTTATTATCCATGGGTCTTAAAAAGAAAGGCCACAATCATATTGCTTATTAAGCAAGACAGTAGGCATTAATGGGGCCAGTCCTGGGCAGAGGGGGCAGAAAGTGGAGGAGGAAGAAGAAGGCACAGGAAGATACTCAGAAAATAGGGTGACAGGTTGTTTGGTTTGGTACCGGAAATTGAACTTGCGACCTCAGGCTTGCCAGGTAGGCACTGTGCCGCTGAGCTATATCCCCAGCTGCCTAGGGTGATGGGGTAAGCCCCACAATTTGCTCTGAAGAATCTCTTAAATTTATGCTTTCAAACCCAAGTGATCTGAAATGTGGAAGCCATGTGTTTCCACAGTACACACATTTACTCATGTATTGCTTTTTGGAGAAAGATCCTGTTGGGAGAGGAGTATTCAGGCTTTCTGTGCTCACTGGGATCCTTTGTATCTCAAGTGGCATGTAGCTATTTCTTTTCAACCTATAGAGGTTCTTGAAGTCTTTTCTGCAAAATTGCTCCCAGTCCCAATGTTGTTGCTTTGGGGTTTTAGAAATGTTAAAATAACACAAGCTAGCACAGTTCTCAGGGGAAGCAGAACTGTTGTGAGGAAAAATGCAAAGTAAGATTTAGTGCTACATTTTTTTTAAATTCTAAAGGTTATAGAAATTACACACTAAGTGCATATAACAGTAAGGTTTCTAAAATTACAGTGGTGCATGCCTGAAATCTCAGCTACTCCAGAGGCTGATGCAGGAGGATCACTTCAGTCCAGGTGTTCACAGTCAGACTAAGCAACATAAAAACCCACAAAAAAGGTCCAGTTATAAGTAAGATTGTTGGAACTCAGGATATGGTTTACCATCCTAACAACCTAAAATGACTGCAGACTGGCAGAAGCAGATTTAGCTCAAGGTAGGAAAAAAGTTGGGCAGGGAAAATGTGGCCAAGGAAAGCTTGTCTCAGAGAAATGATAAGTAAAATCTTTTTTTTGTTTTGTTTTGTTTTTGCGTTCTCCTATCTTTCAGAGACTCCTTCCTGAAAAGATTTCAGGCATCCTTTGCTTCTTCTCAGAGCTACAAAGCCTCCACCAAAACCAGCCTCCAGATTAGGCCACATCCCCTCAACCTACACTGCCCTCTAGGGCAGCAAATCTCCACCTCACCATCCTGTTGATCTAAGCCACACTAAAGGTTACAGGGTCGAGTGGCCCATGAAAAATCCTGCCTATTAATCAGAAAACTCTCTAACTCGCATGATTTTCGGTCGCAGTATAGTATGATGCAAACCTTCAGGAAACAGAGGAGATAAGGGAGAGAGAACACATGACATAGGCAGATAAATCTCCTCTAGGACTAATGGCAGAGCCACCTTCTGAGCTATTTATAAGAGGAACTAAGTGGTTTTTGGTTCAGATTCTCTTTATGACAACAGTCCCCTGGCAACAACATGAGGTCTGAGGACACAGGAAAAGAAGGCAGTGGTGCACTGATAAGATAGGATCCTGCATCTTTTCAAAGTAATCACCTACACATAGCAGATCTGCTACCTGCACTCAACTGCACCTACTGTCTCTAGAAGTACAGATGTGTTCATAAGACAGCCAGACAGAAGGGGACAAAGATGAGAGGCACAAAAAAGCAGGAGAGAGCATGTATGCCTTTGGATGATGGTATCTGGACTGTGACAACCTTTTCAAATGCTACACTAAAACTTGGCTATGTACAAACCCATCTTGCTATGCAACATTTTCTAAAATGAGCATGAATCTCATGAAATCTGCTGGTTATACAGAGTGCTAAGAAGGAGAAGGCACCAGTATGCAGCCAGAACCATCATGAAAACACAGGGCACAAGTAGGCCCTTTACCCTAATTTTCTAAGTGGAACTGACTCCCATATGATCTCATCTCCCACACAAAAAAATCACTTATTCCAAGAAGCTCACCTTTTTACCTGATGCCTGAAAAATCTTAATTAATGTGCCTGATCTTCTGTCGGCTCTAAAAATATAAACCTAGGGAATGAAAAAAAATCTAGTTAGGATAGAAGCAATGACTACAGATATTTATCAGCATCCTCTATTTAAAAGTCAGGCAGAGGGCAGCTTGCTTATGCTGGCTGATATTAACGAAGTAAGCATAACTCTCACATTACTAACTCTGCAGAAAAGTATCCTTTCATCCTGAAGTGAAAGTTACCTGCACTATTTCTGAAACATAGAATTTATATAAGTCATGTACCATCTAGGAGCTTCCAAATTATTAGCAATTCAACTCTTAGAAACACTGTTTCCTTTCTTAAAATAGTCTCTTCAATCTTATTAGTTAGAACTTTAACGGCTATAAGGCAAAGGGGTAGACATGGGCATTTTAGACAAAAGAAAGTCTTTCAAAGTGATTCTACATCATATTATAGTCAAGGAATCTGCTTGGGCGAATATCAGCCTAACTTGGGAAATGCAAAGTTAAACATTAAGTAAGTTCCTTTCCTGTCAAAATTTTCAGAGCCTTTGGTATGGGTATTTAAATGGTGAATGCCACTGACCTTTAACTTCCTAAGTGTACTTCACTGTTTTTTTTCAAATTACATTTTACAGAAAGCCTATCTCGTGAGAAACAGACTAGGGGACCCTCCTCTAGGACAAGGAACAGCCATAATACCATAAAGGATTCTGTACCCTTATACCAGAAATGAATGTCAGCGGTCCATCTTGGGGTCCTTAAAGATTAAGTCTGTGTGGGCCCTAATCCCTGGGAATGTGGAACAGTCAGTAACTCCGTCACCTCTGACCAGTTTCCCCAGTTCCTCTCAGATCATGCAACTGAAAGAAGTGAATTCATGCTCTTTTTTGTTAACTGGATCCAGGACTCCCTCTATCAGTTATAAATATCATTCTTGTCCTAAGACCTATCAGGGACAATGCAGTATTCACAATTATCTTAGGAGAAAAAATATAATCGAATTGAGTTTTTCTGTAATTGGCAAGAAAAGAAAGCCACTGTCACTAATACAAAGCATCTGCACTGCTATGAACTGAGAGTGGGCATTTTTAGGGACACCATGAAGATGCTGGTTGGTATGCAGTCCTTCCCCAGAAGACGCCATCAATTCAGCAAGGTGCACAATGCTCTCCTTCTGCCACTTAGAGGAATTTATGTGATTCAGAAAAACCTAACCCTCTCTTGGAGTTATCAGAAGTTCATCTGATTACAGCCTTGGTTTATATGGTTTTGTTTTCAAAGGACCTCTCTCCATGCCATCAGCATTATGGAGGAGAGTAATGCTCCAGAAATAAGAGCAAGGGCTCCTACCCATGAAGATCCACAGAAACGACCCTCATAAATATTTTTCAGTTATATCAGTCAGCTGGATTCTTTAGCTCCTGGATCCTCTTGATATCTTGGCTAAAAGCTCCCATAAATGGTAACCTCAGTCCATCTGGGCTACTCTATAATGCAGATCCCACTTTTCTAAGCCATGGAAAATAAGGCAGAGTTTATCACAGGCCAGCCCTTATCACAGGCCAGGACACAGAGTAGTTCACTATTCTACTGTTCAGTCTTTCCCATCAGATAACCAATGGAGCTTGTTAAAAACAGAGTCCCGAGCCATCTGAATCTCCCCCACCGGAGTTCTTGCACCCTGAAACTAAATAATCAATAAGCATAGTTCTTCACAATTTAGGCTCCAAGAGGTCATGTCTCCCCAAGGAAATCAGCCATGATCCATGGGGTCCTTCCTACACTCTGGGCAGATACTTTGAGAAAGCCAGACCCACATACTCTCAAACCAATTTTGGGCTCCACCAATTGTGGGAACTCACTATCCCTTCTAAAAGACTGGGGAAATAAATGAAAATCCTGGCACAAAATAAGGCCTTCTAAAGACATCTGGAACACACACCTGTAATCCGAGCACCCAGGAGGCTGAGGCAGGAGGATCACTGTGTGTTCAAAGCCAGCCTGAACTATATAGAGACCCTATCTCAAAAAAATATTTTCAATAAATTTTTTTAAACAAAGATACCTGAGACTAACCTGATTCTGTGAAACCAAAGCCAAATCTTAGAAGGGTTTGGGATAGTAAGGACCCATAAAGAATAGTCATAGAACAACACACATCCCAAATCAACTGCAAAAGTCTCAGAAGAGAATGCGTAGAATTAACAGTGTTAATAGTATTCGCATTCTGACTAAGCTTTTACAATAAACTCTCAAAAGTGACTTAGAAGGGAACTGTCATGGGTCCTCACTGTAGAGTATCACTAACCTGCCAGCAATCTATGAGAGTGTTCAGGTGAAAGTCAGTTAGCAAACCTCTATAACAGGGGAAGATGCTCCCCACTTCTGTCTGCCTTCTGTCACACCATAGGGTTTTTTCCTCACCTTTCCAATGCCTTCATCTTGTGGGGCACCTCCAACCACATCAGTGCTGGATGGGTGAGAGAAGTGGCCAGCAGTCACTGCGTAACCTGAACAGATGAGTAGAAACAAGGACAGGCTTGAGAAAGGTGCTTGTGGAAGAAAAATGCACACCAAATGAAAAAGTTTCTCAAGCATGTCCCTTCTCTGGACATCACACTGCAGTTATTCTGGGAACTTAAATTAGCAGGGAACAAACAGCAGCTGTCAATCTTCTCATGCTTAAATGGCTCATCTCACAAAAAGGCATACTCATAGGACACAGGAACAAAAGGGAAAAAAAAGTAGTTTCTCAATGTCCTCTCTGGGACAGGTATATGTTAAATACTGTTTCTTATTTTTATGATCTATTTTATCCACACAAGTGAGGTGTAGAATTGAATGGGTTGGTATAAAGTGCATAGCACCCAGATCTATGAAGTGAACACAAAGGCGCAAGAGCGCACTTGCCTCGCACGCACAAGGCCTCAGCTGCACTCTCCATCACCGCCAAAAAGTGACTATAACACAGAAGCATAACCCAGGAAGTTCACTCATGGCCTCTCTCATGGTTAGTATCTAACCCACAGGCAGTCATCATTCTGACTTCTATCACTAAGTACTAGATTCGCCTTGTGGTGTGTAATAGTCTATTTCTATCACTGAGTAACATGCTGTTGTATAAATACAACACATCTTTATTTTCTTGTTCATGGGTATTTGTTTTTAAATTGAGGCAATTACAAAAAAACTACAAACATTTTATATATGTCTTCGCAGGTCATTACTTCTTTCAATGTAACAACTCTATGCAGAGGCTATGATTGATTCTTCTGTTTTGAGGATCTGGAAATGGGCAAAACATAGCCAAACAATGTTCCCAAGATCACATAGTAAGATTCAGATCCAATCTGTGTGACTCTATAGTCTCTGCTTCTGACCATTATGTCATATCCTTCCTTAGAGAAGGTGAAAGAAGCTGACAAAAGACTCATGATGGACAGCCAGTCAGATAGTCAAGAATTTGAATACAAAAGGATCTAGAAACTAAGGGGAAAGTCATCTGAGTTTAATCAAAATAACTGCTGCTTTCCAATCACTTTCCTGGCAGGCTGAAGCACTCTTCTGACCAGCAGAAGCCCATTCCTTTTCATCACCCTCAAACCTTTATGCTAGCATTATAAGTTGAATTTTGTGATGACATATATCATTAATTTTCACCATGAAATGATCCATTTTGATTCCTCACGTAGCTGACTTCTTTCAGACTGGTGGTTCATATTGCCTCCAAGTATCATGCGTGACAGCTAAGGGCCTCTGTCTTACACACAGGGAGAAACCCTAAGCCCCAAGTTTCATAGGACCTGTCACTATCAAACTGAGCCATCTTCTGCATTTTTGATTCAATGTACACATGCTGAGTCTTTATGTATATACTAGGCACCACAGCAAGTCCTGGGAATGTGATACAAAATCCCATCAAGGTGTTAGTTCATCAGGGTGTCAGTACCAGTGACAGGTGCTGTCTCAGTAGAATGCACTAGAGAGGCAGCTCAGCACTGAACCCTTCATCAGAAACTAGAGCTTTACATCCAACTTTGCTGCTATAGGACATATGACCTGGGCAAGTATATAACTTCTTTGTACCTAAGTTTCTTTACCAATAAAATGTGGCTAATTAAAATAGCTACCTTACAAGATTGTGTCAGGAATTAAAAGAAATAATACACAGAGCCAGGTACAGAGTAAATGCTTAACAAATGACAATATGGAGGATCTGGGTGAACACAAGGACACAAACCTCAAAGACTCAGTAAAAATACTATTGGGACTGTGTTACTGGGAAAATCACTTGGAGGAAGAAGGAAAAAGACAAGTCATAAACTCCCTACTGCTACCTAACAAGGAAATTGCCAGCAACTCTATACCAAAAGGGGCCAGAGGATTCCCTGGATTTGAGTCATAAGCAGTAAGTGTGAAAAGACATTGTTTTGTCATTATTAGGCTTTCCTAAATTGAGCTTTCAGTCCGAAAGTATAGAATTTAGGGCATGAATTGAGTCTTGTAATAGTCATTTACATACTAAGCAGACAGTCTATCTCTGTTCTTGACTGCTACCTGACGTCTGCTACATTAACTTGTATATATCTCTTTCTAGAATACTAAAAAGGTTTACTGAAATAAGAAAAATTTTTCTGAGCTTTTAATTAAAGTTTAGCATTAGGATTGTCATGATCGTTTCTGGTCCTTATTACTCTGATTTGTCACCAGGAAGCTGAGGCCCCCATCCAAAGGGATGTCACAGGGAAACTAAGATCCTTCATCACTCATTTGGATATGACCATGTGAACCTGAGTAACTGCTGAAATGAGGAAATAAAATGATTGCTGCCCTAGAGGCTCAAACTGTTTGCTTTTTAAATAAATCACGCAGGTTTAACTCCGTTCCCTCCTTTGCTTTCTTCTCTACCTTCTGTGTGTGGCTAGATGCTAAGGTGCTCTAGCGAAAAATAACTAATTAGCCAATTCCCATCAATAAAGCAGTAACTCATGACTCTATGGTAATGGCTTCCATTTCCCCTTTCTTACCTGTCATCTCCCCAGCTACTTACCCAGGTAGGTGTATCTCCTATTCATGATTGTTTCATCGTTGAGTTTAAAATAGGTGTTGTCTGTGAGGTTCAGCACTTTGACTGTCCCAGCCCAATAAAATGACCCTGGGGCACCCATCACCACCAGCTCCTACAGAAAGAAATCCAAAGGTAACAAAGGAAACTAAAGCAGGCATTAGGGGATGCAGTGAGAACCACAATCACAACAAAAACTCAGAATTAAATTCAACATACTTCACTATCACTTTTTTTTCATCATTTTACCTATAAATATTTTACCAAATCCCCCAGCACTATCAAATCTATCACAGGGCTGGGTTCACCAAGACTAAAGACATGAAGATAACTGAGCAAATGGATAGAATGAGTGACCCACCAGACCCCTACCATACCCAAGATGGGCTGTACATAATTTTAACTTCATGCCAAGAAGTTGAAAACAGCAAACAATTGACATTTTCCTAAAATACAGAATTCCAGAGAATAATACAAAAAGATAGGATTACTTTAGCTAACCTGGGTTCCAGCCCCACAGCCCACCAATTGCAGGTACCTGATGCACATCAGAAATAAAGCAATGGCCAAAATCTGCTTGCAAAAACTGCATGCTAAAAGCACAAGGAAATCACTCAGATGCTCTCTGTTCTCTGGAATGATTTTAAAGCCTAGTTTGCTGACCACTGTAGCCCACTGCAAACTGAAAAGAATAAAAACAAGAGACCCAAGAGGTCAACCAGGGGAAGGACATAAACTAGAAAGAGACCAGAGGCAGTACAGGCTCAAGAATGGAAAAGGCACAGCTTTCAGCATTTAGATTCAGGAAAACGTCCCTGCATTTGTAACAGGGAAGAGAGTTTGTCTGTACTGCAAAACCACCTACTCCTAAATGCCCCAAAATGGTTCTGTTACCTAAGGAAATCAGCAGAAATCACTACATGACTTTAACCACAAGAGAAACAATCATCTGCACAAAAAGTTTAAAATAAGATGGGAGCATCTAACAATGAGGATTCAAAATTATGGTACATGCATTCAACAGAATTCTGCGCAGCATTAAAAATATGGCAGAAAACCTATGACATTATTGATAGAGACACAGAGCTTTCAAGTTAAAAAAAATACCACAAAATGTGTATGTTATTGATGTTTTTTAAAATTTAAAAAACCATGAATATAAACACACAAAGACCAAAAAGATAAGTCCTAAAATATTTATGTTCCTCTCCTCTCCCACAATGAATGATTGGGTTATAGGAATCCCTTCTTTCCATGTTCCAAGCTTATTTTCTCTGTATTTTTCAAAATTCTAGAATAGATTTCCTGGGGCATTGAGTTCTCATCAAATTTAGCACTGTCAGCCCTCCAGCCATACGGGGCTCTTCTCTTGCCATTTCTCTCTGACTCCGCGCTGAGCGCACTGTAGTCAGTTGGGGTTTTCTCAGCAAACTCTGCTCTTGTAATTGCCATCCCTGCAATGCCCTCAGACTTCCTCTGCTCAATCAACCTTTTCTCAGTCTTCAAAGTCCAGGTAACATGTGGATAAATCTTAGCTAGGCTAAATGTAGACAGGAAAAAATACAGTATATCTTTTAGTTTTGTTTTTTTTTTTTTTGTCTTTTTCCTTTTTATCGGTACCGGGGATCAAACTCACGACTGCCTGCTTGCAAGGCAGACGCTTATGCCGCTGAGCTAAATCCCCAGCCCCTACAGTGTATCTTTTAATACCATTCATGTGAAGCTGCAGAATTGGCAAAATGAATACGATGGTGATAGAATTCAGATTAGTGGTTACCTGGTATAACAGGGCAAGAACGGCCCACACGTGGAGCGTGAGAAACTCCCAGGTGATTGAAATATTCTAATCTTAATTGAGGTGAGAATAATTGTATACATTTATATCAAAGTTCTGTAAGTTCTATACCTCAAATGGGTGTGTGTCAGGCCTACACAGTGGTGGGCACCTGTGGTCCCAGTCAGTTGGCAGCCTGAAGCAGGAAGATTTCTTGAAACCAGGTGTTTGAGCCCAGCCTAAGAGACCTATCTGCAAAAAAAAAATCTTTAGGCTGGGGTACAACTAATTGGTGCAGGCCCTGGGTTCAATCCCTAACATTGAAATAAATTACTTAGAAAGAAAGAGGATGCATTTTATTATGTAGATTAAAGATAATACTTAATTTTCCTTCATTTTTAAAATTTCCAGAATAGTGATTAAACACAGACAAGGAAGTCATATCATAAAACACAGCACAGACATGTGACATGATGTTTTATAGGCACTGAAATGCAGATTCTGTGCCGGGATGAGGAGAAGGAAAGCAATCCTTACATCCCCCAGAAGCCCCTGAGTGAAGGCTTTGGTCCTTCCTTCCAAACAAAGAACCTCTCCTTTTTAAAAATACATTTTCTAAAATATCTACACTGCCAAAACAAATAAAAATTATTTGTCGAACAAAATCATTAAACTTTTTACCTAACAACATTTACCAAGTAGCCACTATTTTCTCTCTATCTAAAGTTCATGCTAGGCACAAAGATAAAAGTTCATTTATACAACATTCTGGGGACAGGTGACAAGACATTTTAGAAATATGTCTATTCAAAAGAGTTAAACTAAGCACACTTTCTAGAGAAAATCCCACAGCTGTACACACAGCTTCACAAGGGCAGGCCACATAGGCTGTAGAAATGAGGGATACTTCATAGGACATGCCTCTTGTGGCTACAGTATACTCACTCTCCCAGCCACCAACACTGGTATATACGTTAGCATCAGAGTGCCCCAGGCTGGTAGAAGCAGTAGGTTTCTCACAGGTTTCTGGGGGCTGGATCCCACCACAGAGATACTATCTGATGACATTTCATAGTCACCCCATAAGTCTTATGATTCAATGTCCACAAAAGCCAGAAACATCTAGAGAAAACAAGGGAAAGGAAGACAGAGCCAGAGGACAAGAGGGCAATCAATGTGTTAAATCACTTGTAAGCTGCAGCCAATCTGGGGACCAGGGTGTGAGCACAGGTAAGAGAAAAGGAGCACAGATAGATTTTAGCCAGGATGGTCTACTTTTTTTTTTTTTTTTTTTGTCTTTTTTCATTTTTATCGGTACCAGGGATTAAACTCACGACTGCCTGCTTGCAAGGCAGGCGCCTATGCCGCTGAGCTAAATCCCCAGCCCCTATGGTCTACTTTTGACAACTCACAAAGGCATAAGCCAGAAGTGATGACTGACAGATACTTCATTCAAGGTCCCATCACCCTTTGAGACAACTCAAAGGGAGCTGCTACTGCTAGGCCAGATACTCTCAGAGGAAACTCTCTGTTTTATAAAAATACATCAATTTCTGAAAAAATTTTAGGCAACTTTCCCTCAGACAAAAGATTTATATCTGGAATATATAAAGAATTAAAAAATATCAGGCCCCTCAAATTCAAAGACCCAATTGAGAAATGGACATGTGAGATGAACATGCACTTCTCAGATGAAGAACTACAAATAGCAAATAAAGACATGAAGAAATGTTCAACATGACTGGTTATTTGAGAAATGCAAATTAAAGCAACAGTGAGATTCTATCTCACTTCAGAAACAATGGCCATCATCAGGAAATCAACCAATCACAAATGCTGGCAGGGCTACGCCTAAAAAGGAACCTTTCTCCACTGCTGATGGGAATGCAGACTGGTACAATCACTGTGGAAGTCAGTGTGGGAATTCGTCAAAAAAAAAAAACAAAACAAAACTCCAGCTATTCCCCTTCTGGGTATCTTCCCAGAAGAATTAAAACATCATGCCACAGTGACATATGTGCACCCATGTTTAGGAGAAGCACAATTTATAATAGTTAAATCTTGGAAACAACCCAAATGCCCATCAACCATGGAATGGCTAAAAAAAATGTGATATTTTTATGGAGTTATTACTCAGCTATAAAAAGGATAAACTTCAGGCTTTTATAAGTAAACGGACGTAACTTGAGACCATACTCATAGTGAAATAAATCAGACTAGCATATGTAAATATCATATTGTCTCTCTAGTGTAAAAAACTGAACTAGTAAATAAGATCCGAAATGTACAATAGATATTATAAAAATGAAAGGGATAGAAAGTACTCAAAAGGAAAAAACAACTAGGGTAAGGGAAAGGAGAAAAGATTATATATACACATATACCTGGAAATCGTGTGTGTGTGTGTGTGTGTGTGTGTGTGTGTGTACTGAAAAAAATGATCAATTGAACAATAAAAACAGAAACTGTTCTTTTTGAATGCCTAAATCTTATAATCTGAATAACAACTTTGAAGATAACAATATACAATATATTAGCTAGTGTTAATTTACTATTATTTTGTTTTGAAATTCTGTACCACTTTCTTTTTTGTTTTTTAAAATAAAAATAGGTCATTTTCTGTACTCATCACTGGAAAAACAAATTGGACTGCATGTGCATGTATTCGCTTACTGAGTCACTCTCCTTACACACAATATGCAGTATAGGTCCATGCTAGCTCTCAAAGGGTGTGAAAGAGACAAACCATCATTTCATTAGAGGACAGACTTTCTTTCTAGCCCTGAGCTTGAAAACGAACTTGTAATCAGTGCGCATATACCAAGAACACTGAAGAACGTAAGTGATATTCTCAGTGCCAGTTTTACTCACAGCAGAGTGCTTTCTCTCCCTGCAGCTTTTTCTAAACTAAAGTTCTGAGAAGTAGTTTGTCAGGACACCACACACTGCTGTAAGTTCATGTAACTTCTCATGTAAGTGAATACAGGATAAAAGTTGAGAAATGAATGTCTGGCATACTCACTGCCTCACAAACATTCTATAGAGGATAAAACAATGTTGGGTTGAAGGTACAGCGCAGTGGTAATGCCAGCCTGTGTAAGGTCCTGGATTCAATTCCCAGTACAAAAGAAGCAAAACAGTCTCTTTCCTTAAAAACTTTTGAAGCAAGTACAGTAGTTCTCGACTTGTTTCCCCTCTTTTTAGTGCCCTCACTCCCCTTTTGTTCTGTACAAACTGGATGAACAGGGGCTAGGCTGTGATACTCGGGGCTAGTTGGGAAGAAAATATTTTCCTGGAAGTCCCTTATAGTTGGCTCTTTTTATGCATGATGCATGTGTACT